CTGGACAGGAAAGAAGAATAATTTTGTTAGTATACTCAATGGAAATATATGATGTTCAATTACACAACAAACATAAGATATAATGCAGGACTACGTGAGATCTTCACGAACTGTAGAAAAAAAAAAGATCTTTGCATAAGACAGAAAGACTTGAACTTATCAAAAAGAAAGAAAGGATTACATCAGGAAAAGTATCTATCTTGGTGAATGGGCGCAAAAGAGTGCAGCATACATTAAACAATAGGCATCTTGTCGGCCTTTTTACTAATTTTTGTTTGATAAATGTGGTGTTTGGGCTAGCTTTTGCGCACCTCGACTAACTCCAAGGAGAATGGAAAATGGAAATAAAAGGAAAGAAGATATGTTTCCCATGAATCATCTTAGTACAGAAGTCGTGTAGTTTTCTTTAAACCCAGGGAAGGGGGTGTGAAGATTAAAAAAATCCAGAATCACAAGTACTAATAGTGCTATGAGACTTTTGGACATAGAACAAATAATAGAAAGTATAAAGTTTGTCAGAGGGTACTACATCTCAATCACAACTTGGACATAGAACTGAAAATTGACATGAATTACAATTACTACGTAACGACAGAGGGAAAACACTAGGGAACAGTGCCTACCTTTTAGATAGTAGAACATTGTGACTGAAACTATGAGGCCATTAAAGAGGACGACAGTTATCCAAGGCATTGCAGCCACAAAGTGACGAATCATCAGAAGCCATATCACTGATAGAAAAACTGGCAAAATTCCTCCACAAACAATCAACACTCCCCATGACTTGCCAACATCAGCTACATATCTCTGAAAATGTAACTCAAATGTGAATTTTGAACTCTTAAATAAAGAATGTGATACCATAGAGAACACAATCAAGGCACATTGTTATAATATGTGTTACTTGAGCATTTCAGTGTTCTCTTGTTTTAGTCATCGTTAGACCATTGACACACAAGTCAAATGAAACATTTGTTATTTATGAAAATGAGTTACACTTGTACCGTTTGAACTAAAGATTTCGCAGAATTTGTGGGTATGAAAAGCAATTTTTTTTACACGTGGTTATGTATCCTGATGCAGGTCCAAGAGAAAATGTCATCTACAGCCAATCAAACGAGCAATCTACACTATACTATTGAGTGTCTCATTTTCTCCCGGCAAGTTCCGATGAAAAGATTCTATCTGCGTACTTTACAAGCAAAACAAGAGAAGTGTTAAGTCACTCAACCTTTAAGACCAAAGATCGAGAGTTAATTAAGCCATGGATAGACTTATCAACTGCGATATCCTCAACAATGTTTACACCACCCATCTCCTTCCAATGCCGCAAAGATACATTTGATGCACGGGCAATAAGCTGACAGCTCCAATAAACTGTCACAAAAGGTTAGGATATTGAAAAAGAAATTAAACATGTCAAAACACGTGAACTTCCAACAGATGGGGGGGGGGGGGGGGGGAGTATGTTCCATTTTATCAGGTGTGGAGCTGAAATCATCAAAAAGACCTTTAATTAAGCTGGTTCCCAAATCAATAAGAAGTACTTAGCAAACAATATGATTGACATATCATGCCGCAAATGATACTTTCACTTACCATTAACACTTGGAAATATGACAGGGTAGCAAGGACCTTGTAGCTGAAGTGAAGTGTTTCTTAGGTCTGGAGTAAGGTCCGCAAAATAATCATAATTTCTATCGATCCAGTCATCTACTGACAGACGAACCTCGCCTTCTGGATAGTCACACACCCAATTTAGAGAATCTTCAGATGGGATAGGACAGTCCATCAAGCAAATAGTCCTAGCATTAGAAAGTTTGGCCTGATTATCCTTTGAACCACTTTCATAAACTTGATTTGGGTTCACCCAGTATCTGAGTTCCAATTCACGAAGATCAGGATCAGCATGTCTATCACCACAAACATTGCCCTTATAGTCCAGCCCAGATGTAAGCCTGATAAGCCATAACAGATGCATCAGCAATACAACAAATGAGTGAACAGATATATCCATTGAGAAAGGGAAGATCTTTTTCCTTTTTTTCGCATGGACAAGCTGAAAAACTCTTAAAATATAATTTCATTTAGAGAAAAGAACCTTTCACAGTTATGTGACCAGAATATAAAAGATATCACTGAAGACATATTATCAAAAAGAATTTCTACATGTTTAGCCATGAAAAGATGAATCAGGCCACATGTGAGGGGCTAGATGAGAACATTCTTGAGTTGATTTCACATATGGTCACTCAACTAATAATTATTATCTCGGAAGGTCACTTTCTTTGTTGAAGAAAATTGAAGTATAAGAAGAAAGGTGTATTCTTTATGAGATAATAACTATTAGTGGAGAGGCTATACGAGTAATCAACCCTCTCACAATTCCTTATTTCCAACAAGAAGTTCACATATCCATACCAATCTTTAACTTATAACATTGGCCATAAAATCAGGTTCTTTAATGACAATCTCAATAACAAAGAGCCAAAAAAGAACATTCTTTTCAACTTGTGGCAACAATTGTGCATTTTTCCACACCCTTCAGAAGGTTAAGTCTTAAAGAAGATAACTTTGTACCTCAGCAAGACAAAAACAAAGCAACATCTAAAATTTACATTCAGCCAAAACAATAAAAGACCAACCTTTCAAAGAAAAGTAAATCAAACCCACATTACACTACCACAAGATATGAACAAAAATGAACACCTTACACAAAACACATTAAACTAACAGATCAAAATGCCAAAAACAGCACAGACACACTTAGGGTATGCAAAAACAGCAAAAAAGATTGCAACTTTTTCATTTCTTGATTTTTTTTTACCTCAAGGGGTTTCCTTGGTTGAATCCAAAGCTGGAATTAACAATCATAGCAACCCAAAAAGTAATAAAGATAACAAGAAACACTACATCTCTACATTTCCTGTTGTGTTTGATAATTCCATCCCCTTTTTCAGCTACCCCACCATCACTTGAAGGGTACTTCCCTATTACAGCTCCTAAAGGTCCTCTCATTTCCACTACACCTAAATCTCTCTGTAAAAAATCTTCAAATCTTGAAAATGAAGTAGCAAAAAGGGTTCATAAAAATGGGATTTTTTTTTTCTTCAGAAAAGATGAAAAGGAAGTGAAGAGTGTGAAGAAAGAAGCAAAAAAGGAGTGTGAAAAAGGGACAGGGGTTTATGGGAATATGTTTCTGCTAATTCAGTAATTAGTCCCACTAGTTCTGATTAAAAATGTATACTTTTTTTTTTTAATGTAAAGTTTTATTTAGTGTTAAGACAAAGATTGTGTATTGGATATTTTTTTAAGGGTAAGAAGACAGAATCTAATGACAAAGTGCCAACAGGTGAAAGTGAACTGGTTTTGAGCTTCATTTTTTTCTCTCTTGTAAAGTTTTAGAAATACCCTTGTAATTTTTGTTATAATACAAGAATTGCCCCTCAGATATAAAAATAAATAACTTTTGATATATCTGAGTTTATAATTTGAAGTTTATGTATTTCTATGATAATTTCAAATTTTAATAATTGAAATTTGAAAGAGTTAATAGAGTTTTTATGTGGAGTGTGTGGATGCAAAATTTTGGTAATAATTTTTTTTTTATCAAAAATTAGAAAAAGAACTTAGATAAACATGAGAATGTTTTAAAGGAAATAAGGAGTTAGTATTGACCAATTATCATAGATTCTTGTAATTAGATTGATTAACTTTAAAATAAGAGTGATTATTTATGGAAATAAATTTAGATTTTATGTAAAAGTAGGTAGTGTAACAACATTTTAATTAAATGAAAGAAAATAATATATGAATAAGGAAAAAAAAACTATGAGATGAGTGTTTTTTTTTATTAGAAAAGCTTTCACTTTTTCCAAGAATAGATCATTTAACATTTTTTTAGTTTAATAATAATAATAATAAAAAAGAGGATATTCACTGCAAAAATCTGGACTTTTATATGTAGGCATCCGACAATAAAAACTGTTAGGAAAAGATGGACTATAACGTGGGATTATAATAATGAGATTAAATATAATGATATTTTTAATATATTTTTTTTCATTTTAGTTGTATGTATGTGTTATTGAATTAAAAATAAGATATACAGAATGTAATAATATAAAACATATGTTTGTTTACATATAATTGATAAATTTAGATAAAAAAATTATATATGCTCCTTAACTTGGCTCGAATCACATTATGCTCTTTAACTTTGAGTGTGTACAAATAGACACTTAAATTTATATAAAGTTGAACAAATAGACACACATGTCATTCTATGTGTCATTTTTTATCCTACGTGTGTTGTGTCATGTAGAACTCACGTGTTTATTTATTTAAAAGTTGAATAGTTAAAATGTCTGTTTGTGCATTATGAAAAATTGGAGGTCAAAATTAAAATTTAAAGTCAAATTTAGGATTCAATATATGTATTATACCATTCTTTTTACAATTTAATCTTTGTTCTTTAAAAAGAATTTAGAAGACAAATTATTTTATTTCGGAAACTTCAAAAAAGAAATTATATTTTATTCCCAAATTATTATTATTCAAGCCCTCTCAGCCACAATTTTTAAAAAGAAAAAAAAAAGAGTACTAAAATAGCCGCCGAAGAGTAGATACATTTTCCATAAAATCTGGAGATAGTTTGCTATTAGTAGAAATAATATAACATCCAATCCGATCGAACTCATTAACTTTTATTTAATACTTACATTAGTTTTCAGAAATTTTTTAAATATATATAAAATTTAGTAATATTAAAAAATTAAAATCTAGATTTCATAAATTTTAAATTTCGAAAAACTTGTTTGATTTGCGTGTATTAAATTATCACACAAGTATAATTTAATACAATCATATATAATATAAATTTGTTCAATGTTAATTAACAAATGAAAAGTATATCCATTAAGATTATAATTTAATATCGAATAGATTGAGTTTAATTTGTAATGCTCAACAAATCATATCAGTAGACTATCAAGATTTCATTTTAGCTGGATTTTGACTTACTTCACCATATGTGACATTGATATATCATTGAGGTCTTAATCATACAGTATTTCTTTTTTTTTTTTGAACATATCAATTGCAATTGTAAAACTGTTTATTCAAAAATTACATCCTTTTTATCTTTTTTTCAAACTCTAGCTTTAGAGTGAAAACGAATACTACTAAATAATAACTGTAAACACCTGGGTAATGCTGATAGATCCGAACAAGGTTGCAAAATCGCCAGTTTTCTCCTCTCGTTTTGACAGTACAAGATGCAAGCTTGTTGCAATCGTGTACCATTGTTCATCACTGCTCTTCACATATCTTCAAGCACAGATAATGAATAAGTTCACAGTATACAAAGCTAGCCTCAACAGTAATAACAGTGTGGCTTACTCTTTTTTATCTCCCTTTTTCTCCAAGCATATGGAGGTGGATAACAGAGAAAACGAGACAGGCGCATGTTCCTCCAGGCTTTGAGCAGAAGTTTACTTGCTCTGCTCATAGCTGAGAATTTCTTCGTTTTCATTCTCTTCTTCTATTCCACTGGCTTCTGTGTTCCTTGTCGCATCATGCACGTTTTTGTTTCCAGTAACTACTGTCTTTAATGAGCTAAGGAAAGCCTCTACTTCTCTAGAGTCTTGTTGGTCACCGAGCCATTTACTTATGCTTGACACCAGATGGGGTTTTGGTCTCCATGCGGGATTTTGTCCTCGTACAGCTATGGCTTTTTTCATGCATTCAAAAGCCTTTTCCATATTATTCATATTCAAGTACCCTGCAGCGATGATAGCCCAACTATTTGGGATTGGTGTCTGACCTTTCTTGATAATATCATGCAGCATGGTTTCAGCTTTATCAACTAAGTCATTCTGGCAATATCCAATAAGAAGGATATTTGGCACTCTAAAATCATAGGTGTGGCAAGAAGACTCCCACTCTTTTAGCACGGTCTCAGCTGTCTCTAGTTCACCAAGCTTCACTAAGGAACCTAACATGGTGATGTAGTCCCTGTTAATTTGCTTTTTACACACAACCTTATGTACACCCCACAATCGCAACATCTCTTCCTTGTTGCCTAGATTTCCGTAGTGGGAGATCAAATGATTGTAACCTATTGGATCTTTATGTAGCCTATCTTCTAACTTTTTCAAGAAAATAAGAGCTTTCTCCTTGAACTTGGCTTTAATATAAACATTAGCCATCATGGAATAGGTGATCCAGTCCGCCGATATGAAAGGCTGACTTTCCATTTCTTCAAGAAGCTTCTCCATACCATTAAAATCAGCTCTTTCTCCACAGCAATTGATGCAGATCCGATAGCTGAAGTTATTAGGGGTGACACCATTCTCCTTCATCTCCGATAGCACTTCAGAGACTTGCTCGAGTTGGCCAGTACTTCTGTAAAGGCACATGAGATTGTTGTAAACAAGAGTACAGTGAGCATAACCAAGTTCCTTCATTTTCTGAAAGTGGGTTAGGGACTTCTCAACTAGGCGTTCTCTAATATAACAGTTAAAAAGAGCACCGGAAGTCTTATCATTCTTCTGTTCATCGGTAAGGTTATTAAAGTAGCACTCTGCAGCTTCCCAACCATGCACAACACCAATAAGATCCAAATGCACAGCACAGTCTCCTGACTTGAAAGGGCAGAGACCTCTGACACTCATCCACTCTGAAACCTACATGGAAACAAGCATGCACCACCAGCTTTAGTAACAAGGGAAAGTCAGATGTAGCAGTAAAATTCAGAGACCAGAAGTTGAAACATGTTCCTTTCTCCCCTTCTACATCAGATGCACAAGCATTTCCTATCATACTCAATTTCTTCTTTGTAAGAAATAGGGTTGTCTAAGAAAACTTCATTTGCAATCCATTTTTGTTGAGACCTGAATCCCATCTTGCTTGGACTCTCCAAAATGTTGTCGTACCTATGCTCAATCCACTAAAAATGCACAACTTTTGGAGGATCTGACACATGCCCATCGACATTTTTGAAGAGTCCGAGCAACATAGCCTGAATCAATTAAGCAGAAAATGGGTTGGTTGAAGTCACGTGAGCAGACTTAGCTTTGCACCTCAGCTTTTCCATGTCTAGTGTTCAAACTTAGTCCATCTATATACGGATGAGCTATTACAGCAAAGGACGTCAGATTCCAGAATTATCTTGAAACTACTCCCCTTCAATCTTCATCTATCCTAACCGATTTCTCCCTCTATTCTTTCTACCTCTTATCTTTTCTCTGCTCCTTTATCCTTCTATCTTCCTAGTTCCTCCTATTATATCTTCCATTTCTACCTTGCTTCATATCAAGTAGAGGTTGATACCAACTGCCAAGAGCTTGTAATAGTATTTCCTTTAGTTTTTTTCATTCATTATCATTGCATTTAGTTTGTTATCATTCATATGAGTTGGATTTAGCGACTGTTAGATAGCATTGTCCCTGTTTCTCATTATAATCTCAATTTCAACATAAAAACTGCGGTGAAGCTGTTAAATTCTATTGATAGATCCACTAAGATCATTATAATTTATAAGCCTTTCGCTAAAGAAGATTAAAAATCAAAGAAACACCAGCTCAATCTCAATCTCATAACTCAAGTTCCGCATAATCCGCCTCCCCAAACAGAATTCAATCACTCAATCAACTTAGGACCCGATTATCATTAGCATAAGATATCACTTTTGTCAAATTTTTCACTCAAAACTTGAAGAAGAAAAAAACACGTATTTTCAAGAGAAATGCAACTTCAAACCTACATACTCTTACATCAAAATACCTCTCTTTTTTCAAATATCACTCAAATTCATATCGAAACGCCTACTAAACCTCGATCGAAAATTAACTGAGTCTGCTATTACTAATCATTCATATCTATTCCCCTCTATTCAGGACCTATCATATTCGAACACTAACAAAAACAACATCATACCCTACGGTTACATTCCAATACCAACTAAAAAAAAAGTGCAGGAAATGGAACCTGGAGAGCTTGAGAAAACCGTTTACGGCTACGGAGATCACGAACAATGCGTTGAAGCTCGAAGCTAGTGACTTTTCTGCCCTCATCCACCCATTCATCCAAAACTGGAATTATGAGATCCGCATGCCTCACAGGGCTAATTCTGGAAAACAAATTGTTACGCTTTGAATTTGAAGAATACACAGTAGCGCAATAAGCACGAACTGGAAAAGCTCTTTGAAGAAGATTGTAAGAAATTGATCTTCTCAAAATTGCGAAGTTCATTGATGAGCTTATTGGCTTTGTTGATTGTGATGATACTGAAGAACAACAATGGTTTAAGCTACCCAACATTGAAATTGAAGTAAGCTGAACAAAGAAGACAGTTGAGATTTAGGGTTTTAGAAAATTAATAATACCAATTTGACATTAATGATAAAGTAATAAGGAATATAAATTTTTCCATCTTTTATTTTCGATTTACATTAAAATACTACACATATTTCCTCATAACTTATACATATGTTAGTTACGAGGGATTTTAAATTACAAATCAAATGTCAAATTAAACTTATATATATGAATAAGTTACTCGCTAATTAGCTATCAAATGTTATATAAGATATGTACGAATAAGTTGTCTTTCTACTGGCTACCAGACAATTTCGAGCTTTTTCATTAAATTAGGCAATATATAATCATATCAGTTAAAAATTTAAGTGGAGAAGTAACTAATTCCCGTGTTACTAATTAATACATGCATAATTATTTCATTATTTCACTTTTAATTGTCATATTGCGTCTTTCAAAAGTTAATTTAATTAATTTTAAAATTAAATTAGATTTATTAATTTGATATTTTAAACAAAATTATATATATGTATATTTCACTTGTACTTCCGCATTTGTTTAGCTAGTTCTTTAGAATCCTTTTTGAAGTTTTATTATTGTATGTTGTATGCTTGTTCTTGCTACACTGTGATACTTGTATATGCGTAAATGTTGCAACGTTGATCACACTTATTGTAAATGAGATTTGGTACATTAACTTTCAGGTTCTAGGTTGTTTACTTCAGCATTTGTTTAGCTAGTTCTTTAAAATCTTGTTGAAGTTTATGAAAATCTTTTACTTAGTTTATTTAACTTGCTTCCGTAACTTAAATGTCTTAATTTTTAGATTATTTGCATTAGTTTGGATTGTTGTAATGATTCACCCACCAAAAAGTTAGTGTGAGTGTCAATCACAACGATTTAGATCGTGACAAAAAATAACTATTAGGATTGACAAAATGAAAAAAAAAAAAAAGGAATCAACTATATGTTAATTTTCTAAATGAAAAATAATGCAATCAACTATATGTTAATTTTCTAAATGACAATTATTTGAACCATCACATTTTTTCCCCAGCTCATTCATAAGAAATAATACATTTATTATTGAAATTAGTAAAATATAATAAGCTTTGTCACGCTCTTAAAATTCAAGAGCATAACAATTACATCGTGTTACATAATACATACAAATAAAATCATAAACATTATACATCGTATCGACTAATTCCAATAATGAAATTGCCATGCAAAAATAAAACGTAAAAATACAAAACAAAATAATTTAATTATTATTTTTTTGATTAACTTACTAGCATGTCCATGAACCATCTAAAAAAAATCTTAGGCCATGAACATGATGTAGGTTAAATACAAAATTTAAAAGTATACTTTCTATTTAGGTTTAATTAATTAAATTGTCTGCGTGAGGCAAAAGTTTGTCCAAATTTCCATACAGAAGGTACAACATTGATGAATTCTACCGTCTTACCATCAACCAATGTGATTCTAAACGACAACGTTTGTGATCGAAGATCGTTTCGACTTTGCCAATTGACACCCCAATTTCTATACATTGGAATCCAAGTTTTTGTTCTTGAGCCTCTAATGGAAACACTCTTAATATCACCACTACCTCCCACATTAGATATCATCACCATGTTGAAATTTGATTGTCCTTTTAATGTGAAACGTACTCCTCCACTCCTCTTACATGCCACCCTGAAAAAATAAATCATATTTTTTATATCAGAGAGCGGAGTTACAGTTCTATTTATGATTCGATAGAATACAAAATAACTTTGAATTTTAACTCGACACATGATACAATCATTGATATAACATCATTCCGTTATACGTAACAATTAATTATACCTGATTAAATGATGTCGTTATAAAAAAAGTTTAAATATTTTATCTAAATATATAATTCATTAAAATATCGTAGAAATAAAAAATTCAAAATTTTAGGAATATATAAAGTAAACGTGCCAAAAGGTGTTTTATATATATATATATACACACACAAAAGTTGTTGATCTTGTTGTAGTGTGATTCTTAATGTCTATAGGCTTTATTTTTGGACATAAAACAAGTTGCTCACATGCTAATTATTCTTTTTCTACATATATTGTCTTTTCTTTTTGTTTAGTCTTACAAGTTACAATGTACGTAGCATCATGATTTATTTATTAAAACAAAAAAAAAAAAAGAGTTTGACTTTTATTAACCAAAACATCTATAATAAAGGTATAATTAAATTTAAAAAAAAAAATTTATAAATTCTGTGTACGTCACTGATCACTATAATTATATATACCTGGTGTAGAGAACGGGAACAACACCTTCATTGCCTTGTCTAGCAATACGAAGGAAAGCGGGCAAAGACATGTCAAAATGTTGACGTGGTGCGTCGCACCACCCTCCGTGGTTATTTGGAGGGCAGAAGTTAGTGGCCGTCACAGTGACGGCCCCATGTGGGATGCACCACCTGCGATCGAGCTGGCGGTTGCATCTCACTCTATAGCAAGCTCCACATGCTTGTCCATTTCTGAATAAGGCACTACTTAATGCCGCTGTGTTAACTCCAAATCCAGCATGATAAGGGTTATCATAACCACAAGCTCCACCTAATGACCAAATTTAATTAGTTTGTACTTCTTGATACGTCTAAATAAGATATTCAACAGGTGTTTCAGTTAGACAGAGTGAATCATGACTCATGATCTAGTATATTGAAATCGACGTGTTATAATATCGATTAGTCGAAAGTAGAGTAAAATGCAACTCAAATATAGAAAAGTACAAAAAAAAAAATGATAGAGGAAGTTTGATCATGTTGAACAAATTGAATTATGACTCTTTTATTGATCGATCTTGACAATAAATGTGTCATGATCAAACTTTTGAACAAATTAGGTTATATATATATATGACATGTTTATAATTTGATCTCTTTTCTGATTACATATTCATATTTGACTCTACACATTCGTTTACTGGTACTATAAAGTAAGCTATGTTTAAAGCTAATTTATTCTAGAAACAAAATAATTATGTTGTTTCAATCGATCGTAATCTTAATTCAACCTATAAAAAGCTAGCTCAACATGAGTAAAAAACGCTGGTGAGAACTTAACGAGATGCTTACCAAAAGTGCTTGGATCTTGATTGACTCCATAAAAAGTAGCACGACCATTAAGCCAATTTTGTGCGTTAATCTCCACAATAAACAAATTACAAGTAGTAAACAACAAAACAAACCTCAAAATCTTAATGTTAGGAACAAAATTCTCCATAATTAAAATTTTGAAATTTTCAAAATGGAACAAAGAATATAATGTAATAATATATTTCTTAGAATTGAAGTGAAAGATAATGAGTGGAATATTAATGCATGAATGAACGTGCCTATTTTATAGACTTTAGGATTCTATAATTTTTTTCAAACAAATAATTAATGCAGTAATAAGAAATACGCGTTTGTCGGTGATTATACTTATAATAGAAACTTTAATTAGTTATTCATCTTACAAAATACTATGAATTAGCAAAAATGATTAGAACTACTAATTGTTTAATTAGTATAAATTAGCATTTCTTATATATTATAAATCCACGAAACTGCTACTAGTACATAGTATCATGAATATTATTAGTCATAAACGATAGGTTTAAATCTATAATATTTTTTTAAAGTAAAATGGACTTAATCAACCATCAATACTAAGAATATTAAAAATTGAATATTATTATTAGGAAATATTTTGTATTCACACGACTTAGAATTACCTCTGCAAAAATTTCCATCATTTGAATTAATTAGAAAATTTTCTTCTTTTTTTTCCTCTCTTTTTCTTAACATCGAGATACTTCGGTCCACCTCTATCAGATACAGTACATTATAACTTAATTTGTGTTATGAAATTATATAAATTTAGAAGAAGAATAAAGTAGGGAGAAGAGAAAATACTTCTTAAATTCTATTGAAGTATATTTATCATTGATCTTTCACAAATCTTGTTTACGACGAAGGAAAACCTTTTATTTATAGGGAAAACCTTACTTGGTCCCCAAGTAGGATTTCTAAACATATCCTACAAAGACTCCGCGTAATTAGGCATTCACTGTAATACAAATTGTTTATAACACTTTGTATATAATATAAATATTATTGTCGGTATATATTAACCTCAAAACCCTAATTATTTCTAAGATTTAGTTTATAGTTGTGTGTAAGACTGTGTATTTGATACATAACTCATGTATTTGTTTGATATGTACCGAGCGAAGGAATAATGTATCCGCAAATTCAGAAAATTCCAAACTTATTTTAATTTAGAAAACTTTCGAAATAAGATGTAATTACCGCCCAAATTATTGAGAAATTAAAGTATAAAAAATACGCGTTTTTTCTTTTTATTATACGGAAATGTACGTAAAAGTTTGTTCAAAAAAAGGGTTGAAAATAGACAAGAAAAGACCACATGTCACAGTTTATGAAAAAAACTGTTTTTATTGCAATTCGTCGGTGATTATCCTATTTTTTCGGTCTCTAATTATTTATCGTTATTTTTTAAAATTATTTATGATGAATTAATATGGTTTTAGAAATTTAAAAAGACAAGACTATCGTTATTGTTCTTATCATAGAAGATAAAAATAGTTAAAATCGTCTCTTAATTAACGTTTCTTAAAAAATGTATAAAAATGAGAATTATGATAAATAATTTGAGACGGAGAAAAGTATATGAATTTATTCATGTTATATTGACTTTAGGATATATCTAATTAGTCAGTCGATTGATACAATTTCATTAACTTAATATTGGTTGTACGGAGTACGACTTTTATCACTTTCCTGGTACTTTCTTTCTATTAATTTGAATTTAAAAAAATTAATACTGGTAGACAGTAGCAGATGGAATAACTGAAATCTTGTTTGTCTTTGCTGTAATGGATTATCCACATGTTCATACGATAATGATGAGGTTGTTTTTTTTTTAATTAAAAGTTTCGGATATAAATTTTGAATAGAAACCCTATTTCGATTGAAGCCTTAAGCGGCGCAAATCCAAATATATGGATTCCTTATTTGTTGTTGTGTATATAGATGTTAAATTCACCTAGTATGTTCACTTCTTTATTTTTTAAAGCTCGTTAGAAAGAAAAAAAA